CCTCATGGCTGCTGCATGTTGGGAGAGCAAATCATTGGTAATACTGCTTTTGTTCATTTTTTTGAAATTCAAAACCCTGACCAGTCCATTTCGATAGCCCACAGCAATCCACAGATAGCAGGAGCCATTGGGACTCCAGGAAATCCTATTGATAGCAGCAAAAGGATATTGTTCAACAGGCATTTTACGCATGGCGTCAGTATTAAGGGCAGACTTTCTGTCCTGTGGCGGACGAGAATGACCACTGGAATTGTAAAAATCCTCCCTGAATTCCACTCCAAACCTCTCCTGGCATTCTTTGTACCTCTCAGGTTTGTAATTATACTCGTTCCCCTGGTCCATCCCCTTGAAATCTATGATTTCCACATCAGACAGTAGCCACCTGGCCTTCGAGAGTTTATCAATTTCCCTGAGATAGAGCATCTGCGGTGGGAAAATAGCGACGACTTCTCCAGCTGCTGTACCCTGACATATGCCATTTGCCCAGTCAGAGCTTGCCAGAGCATAAACCGGTGAATTTGTTGGTAAAATAGCAATAACCTTGCTGACAGGTTCTCTGACAGGTGCCAAATAAGTCTGGGTGTGTCCGAACCCCAGGACATCGTCGTAGGACGCTAGAATCGCAGGCCAATGGGTCAGCCAAGTTCCGTTGACAGCAACTCCCTTCTTCAGGAATTCAAAGGGAAGACTCGTGTCCTCTAAATCCCATACCTTGGAACACCTGTCCATCCCAGCTGTCACCAGGTACCTCTTCTCTTCCCCTGGGATAAGAGTAACGAACATGACAGCGTGTCGATGTGCATAAAAATGCATAAATGCATCCAGATGAATAGTGGATTTCACCTGGTACTTGAGAAGTGGAGATTCTGTGGTCAAGTGCCAAAGAGCGACGTACCCATTGGCAAATCCTGCAGCCAAGGTATCATGACCCTTAGTCTTCATCCAGTTGAGAGTCATACATTGAGAGGACATTTCACCAGGTGTATTAACCTTCAAGATCATCACAGGCTCAGTCTTGAAGACCTTCTCCTCGTCCTTTCTCTTGTCTCTCTTCTTGCCTTTCCCTTGATTAAATTCCTGGGGTAGAGGCAGCGAAAAAATCAAAACATCCCCTGAAGACATGGCAGCAGCCAGCAGCCCCATCCTTCCTCGTTGATAAGCCCCTGAAGGACACCACTCCATACACCACACAGTTCCTCCCTCGTGTCCCACAGCATAACAAAATTTCGGAGCACTTGGCACATCGTTGTCATGCCTGAGACTTCCCAGACTCCAGATCTGAATTGAATTCCTACCAGAGTAGCTCCTTCCCACCTCGAAGGTGTCCTCCATCCCCTTGTGAGTGCTAACCGCCACGAATTGCTCATTCTCCTCATTATACATCGTCGGAGGAATAGGTAGCCAGGCAAGAGCCCACACAGGTCCCCCAGTGAAAAACGTGGGAACATCGCCCACGACATCCCCTTCAAATCTCTTCCACCTCCTCCAAGAATTATTTCCAGATCCCTTCTCCTTCACCTTCACCCTCGTCGACATGGAGAGTTTTTCCTCTGGTAGAAAATCCTCAGGCTCCTCCACCCTCTTCATCTCATTCACCTGGAGCTCCGAGAAGAGCTCCAGATCGTAGCACTTCTCCTGGAATTCCATAGTCCACTCGATAGCAGGGGGATAGGTCATATTGCTCGGGAGATTTTTATACTGTATGGGATTCCCCAGGAACTTGGCCTTGGGTCGAAGCGGTTGCCTGGGTCCCAGCTTTCTCTTCCTCATAGGCTCCTTATCTTCCGCAATCTCCTCGTTATCCTCCTCCTCGTCATCCTCTGAGTCACTGGCATTGTAATCCGAATCATTCCCCTGGATTTCACTCGAGTGCTCATCCTTCACGTGCTGAACAATCTCGGCCTTGGGTTCACAAGAAAACCTGCAGACTTTACAAATAAAAGTCGTTCTCGCGGTGAAATTGCAGGTGACGTAGTGCTTGCATATTTCCACGAGAGTCGGTGCAGAGAAATCACATCCAGGCTCTCTGCAATACGCCTTCTCATTGTGAGTAATTGCCCTAGACCACATGGCCTTCCACACCCCAGATATCTTCTTGGTGATGACAGGACGCTCTATCAATTCTCTGATTTTTGCTGTGAGTTTCTTCTTCTTGGGTAGAACCTCGTCGGAACCCTTCACCAAGTCTGTGAACTCTGATATCTTGGTGGCAGCCCTCTCTGCAGCTTTTCTCTTGATTCTTGATGAGTCCAGGTCGACTGGTTCCTTTGGTATCTCCATCTGCATCTCCTTCTTTTTCTTAGGAATGCTCCCCAGATCCCTGTGCACCTTCTCGTGGTACTCCTGGGAAGAAGGCATCAGGATTACCCTGCAGATGGGACACGTCCACATTAACGATTGCTTCTCAATTTCAGTCTTTCCACAGAATGTTATGTGCGACATAAATCCAGCAACCGATCTCTTCTTCGTGGAGCAGCTCTCGCAGGTGAGAAATGACTTCTTCTTCTTCACTTTAGCGAGAAGACTGGTGAGAGCCTTTACGTCGGAGAAATCTGGCTCCGGTTGGTCGAATTTCCAGCCCATATTGTTGTGTTTGGAGAAGTTGTGGTGTGACCACTGGGACGTGGACATTTCCTCCTGGCATTTCCCACATTTTTGTGTCTTCTCGGCGATTTTTTTGGGGACAGGGGCTGGAGTACTTGAGGGTGGATTACACACTCGTGGAGTGTAATCCCGATCCACTGGAAGAGTGGAAGGGCCTCGACCTCTGCCTCTACCTCGACGACCTCGACGTCCTCGACGTCGATGAGGTGGCGCTGGAAGGGGATCAACTTCCTCGGAGGATCCCGAGAGACCTTCACCGTCTGTCTCCTCTGGATTCGCCAAGAGCTTCCTCCGACGGACAGCAGAGGTGTTGATATCCTCAGGAGCATCTTCTGGGAGGTCTCGATTTTTTAGAGATACTGAGCGCTCTGGGTCATCCTTAAGGCTCGAAACTTCCTCTAGAATCATTGGAGTTGGATGACCGGGAAATTCTTCATCTGGACCTGCGGAGATCTCGCGAATGCTTTCCAGGACTAGGGGAGGTAATGCTGGCATTTCTTTCAGAGTTTTCTGGGATTTTTTTGGATTTTTATCGAGTCTTGGGGGAATTTTGAGGGCAACAGGAACTTCCGACGTTTTTTCGAGTGGAATTTCTTCTTTGGAAAGCACTGGAGGCGTTTCTACCGGGTTTTCTTCAGCTTCACACCCATGAAGTTCAATCTGCTCTTCAACAATTAATTTAGATCTCCGGCTTTTTTTTCTAGACGGAGTCTTACCCTGTGGCTTCACTCTACCCTCTTTCCTCACATCTTCTGGTGTTTCAGATTCTTGGGATGATTCTCTCGATGCAGATCCACTGCCTATTTTTCCTGCAGCTATTATTCTTTTATCAATCATTCCAGAACGTTTCAGAGGACCTGAAATCCCAAGGTCCACGTCTTCATTTCCATCCACAGAATCTCTCGCTCCTCTCAGTGGACCTTTTTTATTTGACATTTTAACCGATGCCATTCTCCTCCTTTTTCTGACAGGTCTCTGCGGATTCTCCAATGATTTTAACGGCACGATGACATCATTATTATCAATAGCAATGGATTCACTGGACTGCACAGACTTTTCCCCGATAATTTTCATTTTTAAATCAGATGTCGACGAGTTTTCTCCCGAAAAATTCTCTGGCTTCACCTTTTGCGCTGCCCTAGAATTCGTCTTCTTTTTGCTGTGACCTTCGGATGCCCTGGATTTTCGTTTCAGCGAAGACGATACATCTGGATAATTACGAGAATCATGATTATCAGCCTCTGAATGATGAACCCCTGATTCCCCTGGAGTCGTCAGTTGTTCAGAGCCTTCGACGATCTTCTCTTCTGGGTTTAATTCCCCTTCCTCTTCATTTTCAACACATGAATTGATAATCCTCTCATCGTACTCCTCTTTAATTTCAATATCTGTTACAGAATCATTAATATTTCCTCCATTATCCAATTTAGTTGGGGAATTTCTTTCTGATATTTTTTTAGATCTCCGTTGACCTGATTTGCGAATTGATAAATCACTGACGACATCCGTGTGATTCTCCAGGACTCTGTGAGACATCGACGTCCACATGATGCAGTCCTCGTAGATTTTCGGTTTTGATTGTCTTCGAGATGTCCTGATTGGACTTCGAGCTGCAGTCTCTTCAGTCTCAACATGTGGCACGTTCTCCTGAATTTTTCTAGCGATTTTTGGAGGTTTTGAATCCTCCAGATCCTTTTTTGATGTTCTCTTTCTTCTGGGTTTCACTTCTGCTTCTGTTTTTCCTCCAGTGCTACCTCCAGATGATGAGTTTGATGTCAATGAAGTTACAATCTCTAGATTCTGTTTATCTTTATTTTCAGATTCTCTCCCTTTTGCTCTCAGTGAAGTCCTTCGATTTGATACTGCAGGAGGTGGAACTCTCGATTTCTTTCTAACAGCTCTCGGGGGATTCCCCAATGATTTGGAGACGGGACAAGGCACGATTACATCACGATCATTTGCTAGTGATTTTTCTTCAAGTTTTACTGGAATATCAGATGCCTCAGTCTTTGGTTCTTCTGGAGGCACTGGTCTTGCCAAATCCACGCCATCAGATACAATCATTCCATTGGAATCATTACTATCAATAACATCTCTCTTCTCCCCATCATCTGCCATTTTCAGCCCCAGAGTCTCTGTCAAATTTTCCTCCTCAAGTTCCATCGGTTGACTTACTGACGACGAGACGTCATCCAGAGCCTTCACATTTCCACATCGAGCAATTGAATTAATCCCTCCTGAATGTTTTTGTTTCAGGTTTATATCCACTGCTGCCATCAATAAATCAAGGTTATCCAAAGGTTTTGTGAATGATTCATTATTTACTATCTGATCCTCAGGTTTTCTGTCAACAACCAGTGGAGGGATTTCATCCGAAGATTTCTGAGGACCAGGATCGCTGTGGGGTGCAGCAGGATTTTTAGATTCCCCAGGGGATTCGTTGATAACTAGTTGTTCACATGATGCTTCCGATTTTGGGGGAGACTGCAGGTTCAATGATGGCAACGGAGTTGAAGTTTCATTGGTCTTTTGACGGCCTCGAGGTGATTGACGACAAATATTGGGTTTTGGTCTCAATATCCTGGTGTTTCTGATTCTTGGTAGAGCTTTTGGAGCAGTTCGCTGATTGTCAGACGATAAATTCGTGGATTTTGGATCCTGTACTGTTGATTTATCACTTGAAGTCTGGATCCTCTCCCCTGGACTCTCCAATTGATAATTCACTCCAGCACTCGCCTGAATTAACTCAGGACCTTTCATTCCTCCAGCAGATTCAGCCAATCCTGCGAATTCTGGTAATTTAATATCCTGAATCACCTTTCCTGAATTATCGGGTGCATCTCCACTGCTAATTCCCAACGAATTCAATTTTTTCTCCGGACTCTTTCCGTTTTTCCTCATCGAATCGGATGAGTCTTCTCTTTCTGTCCTTGAAACCTCTCTTGCAGTAGAATTTCCTCTCGATTTATCATCCAACGATTCATCAACTCCAGCTCCTGTAATCAAATCACCTTCAATCAGAGAAAAATCGTCTTCATTTCCCAGTATATCCATCAAATCATCTTCTATGTTTTCAGAATTAACTCTTTCTATTCTATTCCTAGGAGGTGATTGCCAGAGATTCATTCTACTCAATTCAATCTCGATATGATCCTCAGCAGGTTCCACCTCTTGTGGTTTATCTCCACTTCCTTCTCTTGGATTTTCTGGCAAGGATTTTTTTTCTTTCCAAGGATTATGCATAGAATCTAGTGATGTAATTGTCTCGGGGCTCTCTTTTCTCTGTGAAATAGTCCGATCTTGTTGAAGAGACTCAGTCCCTGGATTATTATTCTCCTCATGGATCACCAGCTCCACATTTTCCACCGCATCTGACATGAATTTCTTCCGATTGACCTCAGGATCTTTCTTTTTTCGAATTATTCCTCCCTTTCTAGAGGAATTTCCAGGAGTTCCTGTCGTTTGTTCGTCCCGTGGTGCAGTCTTTTGATCTCTCAGTCCCCCAGGAATTACTTTCAGTATCTTGGGGATGACGAAGGGCTTTCGAATGACTTTTCCCTTGTTCTCGTCGGTTTTGTCTAGTTCCTTGGTCTTTGGGGGGTGTCTCGAGGGCTTCAGTTGTCGTTTTGCCTCGGTGTCGGTTTTTCTCTTGGAAATAATCCGGACTTTGCTCGAGGGAATGACTCGTCTCGGTTTCAGGGTCCGAGATTTCTTGGGGGTTGCGCTGACTTGTGGCTTTTTCTTGGGTTTCGGTTCACTCTGGAGTAGTTTTATCTCATCTGAGAGCCCCAATTTCTTCAGCATGTCGGGGGTCAGGACGAACACTCGAGACGCTTCAGAAGTTTTGGAGTTGCTGGAACCTCCAGATGTCGACATGTCGATGTTGCTACACCTGATTAATTCTCTGTGGACAAAACGAAGAGGAAATCAAAACATCAAATCCAGTAATTATTCAAATTGTTTAAACAATTAACCAACAATTAAGAACTACAACGGAAAACTTTTGTTGTAATCGAAATAAATTATAACAAAAATAAAATAATTGAGTAAATAATTACAAACTGGAAAATATATTCAGTTTTTACACTTGAGGTTGAAGGGCTGATTTTAACCATCAAAAAACAATAATTAATATTTTTTATTTAGTTAGCGAATGGAGTTATTCCAAAAACATAAATTTGTCAACTAAAATAATGTTCATGAGTGTCGCATCAGGGATTCGATCGGAGAAACTCGAGATTATCTCATCGGATCGCTACCCACGACCCCAAAATAAAATATCGTGATATTAAATTTTTCTGAAGAATTTCAAGTACAATCTGATTATTCCCACAATTACAATCTCTACTCATTACGATTTTATTTCAGTTACCGAAGAAGATGACTCAAGAACTCCGGAATTATCGTGTATGATAGATTCACGGTTTTACCTGTCTGACGAAATCTCGAGGTTATGTTGCTGTAAAATGTGATAATTATGCGAGGCACGATAATGCAGTACAGATTGCTCTCGTTACGATTACGGTTTAGTACATTTAATTCGTAAAATAAGAAGATTAGTGGATGACAACGGTGATAAAGTGATTAAAAAAAATCATAACGAGGAGTCTCGAACCACTGATGTCCCGATCATGCCTTGGAGACTAGTCTCGTGGGGGAAAAACCGACGTCTTCATTCTGCGCATGATCCGTATTTTTCTCTCTGGCGCCAAATATAGTTTTACGAATATTTCAATTCAACTTTCATCTCCTGAACATTAAATATTTATGTAAATAATGTTTGGTGTTGAAAATATCGGGGAGATATTTTTAACAACAAATCCTAAGGGTTAATTAACTAGTAATTATACATATGCATGGTTTTAATAAAAAACAGTTTTCATTTTTTCAAAAGTGTTACAGGGAAGTCATTGAAAATTTTTGATCCTCAATTTGAAGGGAATGGAGAGTACAATCATCTCAAATTTTGTCGGAATAGTAAAAAAATCTGTATAGATTAAAATTTAAAATTTATTAGTTTATATTAATATTTATTAATATTAAAAAGAGGCTAAGGTAGGGGAGAATAAGGCTTTGATGGATGTCTACGAGATTTCAATCGATGATTCATAAAACGCTATTTTATGACTCGAGTATAGTTTATTTAATAATAAATTAGAGATATGCATTCGAATAGTCATTTTATTGAAATTAATATCCAGTGGATAGCCCAGCAAAATGGAACACGTGGGTTTTTAAATTATTTCCAGTGATTTTTTTTTGCAAATTTCCCAGAATTTTTTCTGAAGAAAATCTATTGGCGACAACACACGCGAAATAAATAATTATTTAATGGAAAAATGAAATTTCAGAGAAAAGTGACAAAACAGCAATATCCGTATGAAAACGTACTTTTTTATTCATTTTTTTGTCAGAAGAGTACAGTTATTAGAGTCTAAACCATTCGCCTGAGGAGTTCGTTGATTTTGTCCTCACGGTTACCGAAATCTCCACCCTCGACGTAGTGATTGGTCTTCTTGCGCCATCCACCAGTTGGGGTGTTCAGCTGAAAAATGGAAAACATTTCCATTACCATTGCCAATAATAAACCTCATCACAATCACCAAATAAAAATAAAAAGAAAAGAGTGAAGTGTTTAAGATCTTTCGAAATCTGGAATAAATACTCCAGATAAATGAAGAAAGACCTTGTATTGCTCTGTGACACAGTAGGAGGCAATAGACAAGAGTAAAATTCTATTTCCATGCCTATGTCAACTGGTAAATAAATAAATAAATAATTAATGTCATTACCTTGAATGGCCAGAGGAAATTGCTGGCGTACTTGAACTTGGATCCAACTGTGAAGATTTCGTGGATCAAATCCTCGGTACAGATGAGGCCAGAGCCACCTGAAGAGAAAATTAAATCAATATCATGAACTGAACGTAATTATTGACATAAATGTGGAAATGGGACGGCAGAACTAATTATTTTTATTTAAAAAAAAGTCCTAACATCATTTTACTCTTTCCAAAATTTTGTATTGTTTGAATCGACAATTTTCTTCGAATCAATTCGAAGAGAACTATTGAAGAAGTCAATTAATCTTCGACAAGATGGAAGAGAGAGGATTTAGAAATGTTAATCAACCCTTATGGACTTGTCGACAATTAAAATCATTATCCAACACGTCAGAATTAATTTCCTAGGCATTAACTTGAAAAATCGATTTCAACACTCAATGTCTTCAATATATTATTTAAATAATTGTAAGAAAGCACTGAATATCTGGGGTTACGAATAAAAGAAAAGGGAAAATTATGATAAATTACCGAGTTTCTGTTCAATGATGGAATTGCTAGTGATTGGGATGCGCTGACGATTGATCTTGGCGAATCCACGTTTGTAGACAAGTTCCCGGACTGACTTGAGGTTGGGATATCCCCAGGTAATGTAAGGCTCAACAATACGAAGCATGTTGATAGTGGCCTTGTTTAACCTGACGAAGACACCATTGTTGATCTGCTTCAGCCTGAAGAGCTGGAGAACCTTGCGAACCTTTGGGGCGACTTGATTAACACTGCAACCGTGAAAATGCGTTGAAAAAAAATTGACGTGTACATTGTTTTTATTTTAATTCATAGCTAAAAAGATTCCCAAATAAAGACTAGACAGATGTTTATTATTTTGACAGCCCTTACCCCCGAATACGGATGACAAAGGCAAGACGAGCTTCACCAGGAATGTAGTAGTTCCCACGGTTTTTTGCCTGTCTCTTCAACCTGATCTCATCCCTCTCCTTCTGTCTGTATTCCTTGACGTACGACTCGGCACGCTTGAAGATTTCTTTCCTCTTCTTGTAGTGTGCAGCACGTGCCTAAACAGAAAAAAAAAACATTTCATACGCATTTCATAGATTTAAAATCCCGAGAAAATTTATTACTTCTGGTGAAACCATTGATTACAAGCAGAGAGGAATAAAAACGTCAACTTTACCACTTGTCATTGAAATAAAATGGTTATACCTTTATGGAAACCTGAAGACGAGCAGTTTGGGCTGCCTGACGACGTTTCCTCCTCTTGAGGACGGACTCAGGGACTGCGGGGAGCTTCTTCGAAGGCTCGGCCTTCTTGTCAGCCTTTTTCTTCCTGAAACCACAGAAAAATCCATCATTAACCCCTTAATTACATCCAGCCATACGAAAGCATCGCTTCTTAGGTTAGAATCTCAAAACACTCCCTTAACCCTAAAAAAAAAACATAAACAAATAGATTAAATTAATCCCAACAATCCAAATCTTCTATTCAGCATAAAAATCCTTAATTATTAAATCATTATTGTGGAGCTTTTTATCAACAATCTTTGGAGCAGCCGAAGGGAACGTCCCTCTTGTCTGCACAAATACCCTGGACATCTCTGGGCAATTAAAAAAATATACATGTAAATCTTGTCCTGAATTTATCGAGAACATTTTGACATTGGCACTGGAACGAATTATTTTTATTTTAGACCGATGTTTTGAGATTCTTTGGGTGATAATCGGTTTTACTCACGCGTCCACCATTCTTGCGTTTCGGTAAAGAAGGAGCTGTCATGCAGCCAAATTCAAGGGAATGATCTTGAGGCGATCTCTCATGATCTAGAATCAGCGACACCCATGGAAATTCAGCGTAAGAAAAATGGGTTGGGTTGGGGCGTTGCGCGTTGTTTGAGTCATTGACAAATTCATGATTTTCTGGAGCAACTTGTGGCAATAACAAAATAATAAAATAAAATCTCATTGCTCTGGGGAGAAGTCAATGACGGAATAATGAAGCAAGTGGTGAAGTCACTAGTCCTGTGCCTTAGTTTAATATTAATCAGTGGTAAGTCCTCGAAAACGAAGTTCACTTTCTCACTCACTTGTTGCTCTAATCATCGGTAATTATTTCTACATTTTATTATTGGACACTAGATGATCAGATGATTGCGTTCAATAATTTGTAATTCAAGTGGTGAAACCTCGATGTCAGTCTCTGACATTAATTAACTGATTGTTGATGAATTGTTGATTTAAAAAAATGGTATTGCAGTGCCATGGAGCCTCCAGGATAATCCACCAAGCAATTGTACAATTCCCGAGGGGGTACGTGGAACGTGGTTCTCCTGGGAGAACGGCAGGAACACCCTGAATGACATAGATGCAAAAACCATGTCGAACCGAGGGACCTGCATCGCGATGAGAGAGGACAAACGTCTGCACTACACCTTCCTCTTCAAGAAGGAGACGTGCTACCACTGCGTCAAGCTGACAGTCCAGACAGTGAATGTCCTGGAGAAACTAGAGTTGCCCTCCTGCGTGAATCTTCCCTCAAATGTCGAGGCAACAATCGACGATATCTGCAGTGGAATCCACCCTGATCAGCAGTACATCACCCTCTTCTCCGAGAATCCCAAACCCATCAACTGTCGATCCTCCCTGGAGGGTGTCTGGCAATTCGCCTACCAGAACAGATTCAGATTCACCGGTGAATGCAACAATCCAGATGCTCAGATAAAATCATGTCAAACCGCTGGAACGCAGTTCCTCATAACAAATCAGAAATTCAACATCACCTACAAAAAATGTGCTAACATGAAGGGAACTTTTGATGGAGTGGTGGAGTACAGCTGTCTAGGGGACTGGTTCGTCGGTAAAAATCACTTTTTCGCTGTAGCCAATACCAAGGAGTCCAGGAAAGACGAGAAGTACAGGTGCTTCCTGAAGAATCGAGACGACGACCTCTACATCGGTGTTTCAATCACTGCGGAGTGCAATACCCTGAAGACTCCGGAGAAGAGCCCCGAGAGGTTGAGAATTACTCCTGTGAAGACCGAGGTAGTGGTACCTGGCTGCAGACTCCCTCAGAATATGTCTGGGGAGTGGATTAACACCGCAAACATTGACGCTGATATATCGATAAATGAGACTCACATAACGGAGGAGTGGCATCCTGATGAGGGTAGAAACAGGAAGACAATATATATCTGCAGGGAGCAGAGGGACACCAGATTTATGATGGCTAGGTTGACCGTCGATGGTTGCCAGAAGGACTACATCTGCTTCGACTTTGTCCCACAGCATCACAACGTTATCAGGTTTCTCTCATTTTCTATTTTACCCAATAAATTAATCAATGTTAATTTAATTATTTCATTTTGTTATTCCTCATTCTGCCATCATCTCCAGATTCAGGCGAGGCGTAGCAGTAATTCAGGACGACTTCCACACGGTGTGTTCATGGGTGCGATTCAACAAAAATCCTGGATGGAAATACGATCTGTACCTGGCGAAACGCCCGGTGCCCGTAAGGTGTCCAGTCGCTGGAAAATACATGTTCAATCAGAAAGGAGAGATTCCATTCGAGACGAGAATCCTGGGTGGTGTTACACTGTCGCCGAGGCCGACGTTCGTCTGCCAGAAGAATATCTCGGATTTCTCAGTGTGTGGAGGTGATCAGAAGGAAATTGCCATCGACGAGAACTACTGTCTGTCAGTGGATCACCTGGGGAGACCTGTCGACATCTACAGCGAGCCTGATTACAAGATGAAGTGCATCGGTTTCTGGAAGGAGAACCTCAAGTCTTATCTCATTACTTACGACGAGCTTGATCCCTACAGCAAGTACAGGTGCTGGGTTTACCAGAGGGCTGACTTAAACAGAGTCCTCATGTCCCAAGCCATTGGGCCTTACTGCAGTATCAATCAGGATGTTACGAGCAGTAACTGGACTGAGGGGGCAGCTGTTGCTATTGATATGACAGAGTACGAAAGAGAGAGGGACCAGTGCCCCATGTACTTCGATGATGGAAGCAATCCCTGGGCCAAGAGCGAGAATCGTATCAAGGTCTTCAGGTTTGGAGTCAGCTCCAGTTCACTGACGACGTCTTCTGAACTCTTTTCACTGTTTCTAGGAGTCACTGCACTCCTCTGGACTCAATACGGAACCTCTTCAGGTTCTTAATCCAATCTCGAGGGAATTACAATGAGTGCATTTTATTTTCATTCCAATTATCGATGAATATCTGGAGAATAAGCAGAGATAACGGATTTTTTATGGGAATATTTTTTTTAGCTCACACTTCGGTCTACAAAAAAGATTCCTATGAAAGTTTCTCTATCTCTCTTCGGTTACGAGATAACCAGCGGCAATTGGCTCTAGGTGAAATACACTTATCGTAATTTACCAATGCAAAACACAAATATAATCAATATTTGATTACCATGATTATCAGATTAAATTATCATCAGAGAACGTTTCAAACATTTGAAATAATCGTCCTCGTGGGTTCTTTCTGAAGATATAGTGATTAAAATAACTACTCCGTCCATTTTTAGCAATAATAGATAAATCGTAATTATATTAATGAGAGTTGTTGCTCGAACGATGAATCTCATGAGAAATTATGGAATATATTTTACTCGGCTTGTTGAATATGTACAATTTTTTTTATTGAGAGAAACTGCAGGTGGATTATTCTTCAATGAATTATTAGATCTAAGACAAATTAAATTAATTTCTACTGTTTTATGATTATCTAGATAGCTTAATGTAATAAATTTATAGTAATAAAATTGAGTAGTGATTCCATGAAGTTATTTCGTCCAGGAGACCTTGGGAATGTCGAAGTGCTCGGTGAGACTGTCCAGGTGTCTGTTGAACTCCTCGACTCTCTGTTTGTGGGTTTTTGAGGCTTTCTGTTTAATTCTCTCAGTTTGCTGTGCACAAAGGGATGATGATGATGATTGATAATAATTAATAGGGAAGTCATTAATTAGAGATAACTGTTGAAAAGAAAAGAACTAATTTTACCATTTTCTCCTGCATTTTTAGGAAAGCCAATTCTGCTTTCGTTCTCTGGACTGTGTGTTTAGGCTGCTCTTCCTCCTCAACTATTTTCGACACCTCCACCAGCTTCTTCTTCTTCTCTTGCTTACGCTTTTTTCTAGAGATGATATAATAATGGATTAACAAAATAATCTCAGAATTTCTAACCTATGAAGATGATTTTTCATGTTGACAGCGAAGACGTAAGGGTTTTACTCACTTTTTACTAACAGTTTCATCGTTCTTCAACTTCAGGGAACTTTTGGCAACTTGTGAGTAAGGATCGTCCTCGTGAGAAGGCATCTTCAGGAAGAAATACTCCAAAATCTGGAGTAAACGATCGATGAAAAATATTTACGTATTTGTTGCAGAGATTATAGGGGAGATGAGCAGCGCTTATAGCAAAGGTTAAGGCCCAGGTGGAGGGATTTTTACCCGACATGTCCCTAGGGAATTCCCTAGAAAAAACGCGTTTTACGGGTAACTAAATGCCAGCCCCTGTAGGCCCTCAAAAAATATAATGATAGGGTCAATCGACAGATCATTATTTTTGCCGGGCCGGTAATTAGGTCTCAGGAGTGGGAAATTGAGGAATGAACGTGTAAATTACGTTCAAAGAGACCCCCTAGATTTCACCAAGATGAATTCTCCAATGATCGTTTGGGGAAAAATATGGCGGCTCAATCACTGCGGAATAAAAACACTCCCCACAATTTACAAATCCACTTCTCACTCGCGACACCCAATTACCGGCCCGTGAACACAATTATTACATTTTTCGCGATTTTTCCCGGAAA